AGGTCACAACCACCAGCGTCACCAGGTACCACTTCAAACGTTAGGAAACATCCACAACCGTCACCAGTTACCACTACAAACGTTAGGACCCCCCCACCACTGTCACCAGGTACCATTACAAACGATAGGCCCCATCCCCCCCCCCACCAGGTACCATTACAAACGATATGTCACATCCACCAGCGTCACCAGGTACCAATACAAACGTTAGGACACACCCCCCACTGTCACCAGGTACCACTACAAATGTTAGGACACATCCACCACCGTCACAAGGTACCACTACAAACGATAGGACACACCCCCCACCGTCACCATGTACCACTACAAACGCTCGGAACCACCCACCACTGTCACCAGATACAACTACAAACTATATATAAAATGTTACCTTTCGTTACCATCAATTGTAAATATCTGAAATAAGAATACAACCAAAGCTGCACTAGCGATACAACTACAAACGTTAGGACACATCAACCACCGTCACCAGGTACCACAACAAACGTTAGGACATATCCACCACCGGCACCAGGTACCATTACAAACGATAGGCCACATCCACCAGCGTCACCAGGCACCACTACAAACATTAGGACACATCCCCCCCCGTCACCAGGTACCACTTCAAACGTTAGGAAACATCCACCACCGTCACCAGGCACCACTTCAAACGTTAGGACACATCTACAAACGTTAGGACACACCAACCACTGTCACCAGGTACCACTTCAAACGTTAGGACACATCTACCACCCTCACCAGGTACCACGACAAGCGTTAGAACACAGCTACCACCCTCACCAGGTACCACTACCAACGTTAGGACACACCCACCAGGTACCATTACAAACGTTAGGACACACCCCCCACTGTCATCAGGTACCACTACAAACGTTAGTACTATTCCACCACTGTCACCAGGTACCAATACAAACGTTAGGACACACCCCCCACTGTCATCAGGTACCACTACAACCGTTAGGACACATCCACCACCGACACCAGGTACCACTACAAACGTTAGTACTATTCCACCACTGCCACCAGGTACCACTACAAACGTTAAGACACATCCACCACCGTCACCCGGTACCACTACAAACATTAGGCCACACCCACCACTGTCACCAGATACCACTATAAACGTGAGGACACATCCACCACCGTCATCAGGTACCACTACAAACGATAGTACACATCCACCACCGTCACCATGTACCACTACAAACATTAGGAGACACCCACCACCGTCACCAGGTCCCACTACAAACATTAGGACACTCCCACCACTGTCACCAGATACCACTATAAACGTGAGGACACATCCACCACTGTCACCAGATACAACTACAAACTATATATAAAATGTTACCTTACGTTACCATCAATTGTAAATCTGAAATAAGAATACAACCAAAGCTGCACTAGCATATCGACTATCTCCTTTATGTTGCTTGGATACAAACGATTTTTTTTCTCCAATTCATTGCAAGTGCATTCCCGTTTTCGCCAGGGAAATGATAAATCGGTCTTGACCTACCTAGATAAGACAGCTTAAATGCGTTTTTATTGAAAAAAAAAACAACACGTCACCGTTGCGTCATCAATGTATGCGGTGTAACCAGGGTGACGTCATCAGTTTATCAACCTTTCTTGCAACACTTGATGAAGGTGGCGAGTACGTTAGTTAAGTAAAGACGTATCTTTTATGTATAGGTTAGGTATACAGGATATTTCTCCCATACTGTACAGGTATATTACCGTTTGTGTAAAATCAACAGAGTCTGTCTTATGTAGGTATGGGTATAGAGAAATTCTACTGGAAAATTTGGGCAAGAAACTGAGCCCAAACTTTGCACCTGGGGATAGAATTTCACTAGCCCCGATACATTTACATAAGTATTGACTCTCTTTTCTCCCCCTTCTTACATGGAATTTGGTAAAACTCGAAAATGAAATTACGAATGCACGAGTTCATGTAATAGATTTTCTAGATAACGTACAGATTATCCAAGAACGTTTTTTGAAAAGCAGGAATTAGTATGATATACCTAAGGTAAACAGTGAAATTAAAAAGGTTTCAAAATCTTCAAGTTCGCCATCGTTAGGCGATGTCAGTTGTCACCAGTCTCATGGCGGTAAATATTCTTCCGTTGACCAAAATGTCATTTATTGACGTCACGTACCACGCTGAAATGACGAAACGTTTTGGAACTTCAGTCGCTATAGTACTTATCATTATATTCAAAAACATTTGATTTTATGCACTCCCTACTTAGAATTTTAAAAAAAATATACTGTTCTCGTACTGGGGGTCAAAACAGCACTATGTGGTATTATAAGACCCTTTTATGCCCAAGAGTGTATGATAGGGGAATTCCATCAAAGACGTTTTCAAATTGGGTGAAACCCGACGCTTGCAAGAGTTTGCACCAATTGGAAAATCCCTATGGACGACAGGACACCCCTGGGCATGAAAGATCTGCCCCCTTCATTTTTTCGTTCCAATCACCATAATTAGCTCAGAGACCACAAACAGGTGTCCGCAGAATCGGAATTTTTAACTGATTTCGAGACGTCACGTCATCTTTGTCACATTGTGACGTCACACACTTGAAATGGTGTGTCAAACAGAAATCATTTACATCTATTTCTTACCTTGGACAGCTCTGGCATAATATGGCCTCAAGAATGAGAGAAAACATTATCTCAGGTTAGTGTTCCCTGTAGAACAGGTATATCTTACATATGTAAAAAATGAGAGAAAACTCTACCCCACATAGGTGCACCGAGTGACCCCCAGTTCAAGAATTACGTTAATGAGCTTAGTGAAATAAAACAAACATTTGCGTTCAAAACCATATCGACTGAGGTTATGCATAACGATGTCATTTAGATCTGATACGTGACGTCATTAAATGGATATTTTGGTCAGCGGGAGATTACCTACAGCTAAAACACATTCGTCAGCTGACATCACTTCAGAAATTCAATAATTTCCAAACTCTTTGTACCTTTAAGTAAACCTTCGGTGCTCCATACTTCTTCCTGCTCTTTTCAAAAACTGTTCCAATTTGCACGTATTTGATAAATGTCTGCCACATTATAACACCAACACGACAAGAATCTTAGGGAACAAAAACCTTAGAAGCATGTGTCACATAGCAACACAGATGTGATGAATGTCTGTCACACGAAACAGTAAATGCCAATTGTGTTTAGATTCTTTCACAAGGAAACGCCAATATGATAACTTTCTGTCACATATGTGATATGAATACAAACATGACATTTTTTATTACATTTTTCACCAGTGAAATAACAAGTGTTCAACCATGTTTGTGATGTAAGGACACTTTTCAATGGTAAATAACGATTTATTATTGGACGACATACCATGCACGGTCATTTAATATTTTCCAACAGACCAACTCTCTTCCCAAAACCTCCCCGCAAATGTAAACGAGAGACGTGCGGGACTGGTCTTCTTTGTGGAATGAGGACACGTGCTTCGCACTCGAGAACAATATCGATATTCTGCCATACTCGTGAAATATATGTTACTCACCAGGAAACCATTAAATACCCTCCTATGTATCAAACGGACATGCTACACAGTAACCACAAGATGACCAATGTAACGTAGGTAATAAGACGCTGTGACAAGTAGTTATGTATAACCATACAAGTCTACCTCAAAACCAAGTACACGCTTGTAAATGACATTATTCCAATTGATGAATACCCCGCATACGTTTATACCGTTAACAGCTTTGAAAAAGAACGAAATGCAAACCGATACGATTTAGTTTAACGGCTAATATGTACCTTAGACATACGGGAACGTCTCCAGCTGCCTTAATCCATTTAGTACAAGACGGTGTTGTCGACTGTTCCCGAGCAGTAAAACCTACACAACCCGACTTGTATCGTATTTAATATGACATCAGTAATCAAACGGGCCAATTCCAGACGTAATGCCAACCCAAACATTTTGATGATTTTAATCTATTTTACTTGCATCGGTGGCCAGAAATTGATGAAGTTGTAAAGTTATTACAACCAAAATCTTTGGAGTCAGTTGTGTTAATATTTTCTAAGTCGACATAATTTGGAGGAAATTTGTAATGCCATGTGCTAGTTAAACCAAGCAATCGTTTGTAGTAATTGCAGGTATGTGTTAAAAATTCAACCGGAGTGGCCCGCACACGTACAGAGATGCTGTGGAATTCCGCATAAATAAATATGTGATTGAATCCTCCCGAATCTTGGTCCAATACGTGCTTGGTCGGGCTGAAGGAACATCCTACGAGCTACTTTCTAATGGGACCCAGACGTCCTTGGTAACAGAGGGATTACTTATGTAGTTATGCTCTTTACATATGGAGAACAATCAAAACAGAGAAAACATCCAGATCACAACAAAATATCTTTCTACTCGACACACACGTAAGAAGTATCGATTGGGGAGTATGTGGTCGTGAGCCCTTGTCGAATGTAACGTCCTTCTAAACAAACCTCGTCCTGTGTAATTGACCGGGTCCATTTGTCCGTGATTGTAACTGCTAGACTGTATACCGCAATCCGGGGGCCTGTTCGTTTATGCGAACAAACGGTTTGTCCGCCTTAAAATGTAACATTTTCGGGTAGAAATCCTGGCGGACCTGCAATTGTTTACGCATGCCTTGCAAGGCTTTGTCAAGGCTCGGCTGAAAGCAGCATCAGATAAATAGGTCCGACCTTATTTAATAAACGAACAACTGTGACCCAGGCCGATCAGTGGGAGTTGTTGTTTTATATATTTTTACTGTTTGTACTTATTAGAGAAAGAAAATGGTACTGGCAGCTAACAAATAGCAGAATTGGCGATGGTGGTGGGCGGTCGTTTTCAAATCTTATTTTCAGGGAAGAATTGGATATAAAAAATCTGTGCACGTCAGTTACAACAAGTAACAGAAATGGCAAAGATCAGGACATGCTGTTGTGGGCTGACTTACGGAGTGTCGTGGCTGGGTGATGGTCGAGAACCCGTAGCAGAAGTAGTAGAGGACAGCGGCAACGAGCACTATGACCCCGAGAGCACAGCCCGCCGGACCGATGACAGTGTACATGCTGAAACATACAAAGGTCACAGAGCAATGAAACAAAGCATTCCGCGAGACAATACTTTTTCTGTATCTACTAACAGGTATATCATGTAAGGGATGTTTTACCTCAAACTAAACCCAAAATTTATTATTTTTGTGACTGGTTAAGGAAGTGTTCTTTGTATTACATAGAACAGGTCTTCTTCTCACCAAGTAACTGTCATTCAAATTCCAACAGTGATCACCATACTACATTACACAACACTATACGGTTATGTATATATATAGAGCATATCGATGAGGTCCACTTATATAGGGAATGAACGGCGTTTTTTAAATGTTCATGCCGGTATGAACGCAAATCGGTTACATCCATATTGCATGAAGCTAGGGCTTCATGTTAAATATTGATGAAACCGATTTGCGTTCATACCGGCATGAACATTTAAAAAAACACCGTTCAGTCCATTTATTAACAATTTACTATAGAACAATTGTTTAATTTTATTCATTTGTTCTTAAATAATTAATTAATTTACTGCATTTTGTATATGCGTCGTCCTTTAAACGACGTTGGCGAACAGCCCTATTTAAATTAAGTTGGCACACATAATATTAACCGTAGTCATTTGAGCATTTGACGCAGGAGCATTCTCAATGTTACTCGAAGAGAAAGCGACAAGACTCTCTTTGAACAATATTACTTTATGACGTCAAAAGTAGACCACGTGTATCGTCACGAGATTTTGCTTTCATACTCAAATGATATGTTCATATAGTTGGTTGCAGCGCAAATGTAAACATTTAAGTATTGAACTGCTTTCATTTGGCATTCATAGGCAAAGGCAAATTCAATGAAGCGCTTTGGATTTGCCTTTGAATGACAATTGAAAGCAATTCAATACTTATATTTACCATTTTGGGAATCTGTTCATTTCATAAAAAATCGATTACACTTATTATTGTTCAGCATTTAGTTCAAATAGTGTATGTATCGTGTATGCTTGTTCAATTAATAGAACAGTCATCCCCCAGGGAGGGTCAGTAGTATCCAACGAAACAATTATGCCGTCATAATAATCATGACGTCGACAATCGGTCCATGGCATTCATAGCCTTTATGGATGCCAACTGAATTGGTAGGGTTATATAGTGGCAATGCCATTCAATTGTAAATATAGTTTTATGCACCAACCTAAAACCGAAATATTACAATGCTATGCTGTTGGCTGGTGCGATAATTTATTTTAACAAACTACAAATTATTTGATTTTGTATCTTAAACGTGTGAAAACAAATCCTATGTTTGAAACACCAGGTTCGTAATATTCTTGTAAAATGAAAACGACATTTTGAATTATGCCTTTTAAGTTGCTTTAGCGCCTTGGCGGTTACGAAACACAATAAATACAATGATAGATATGTTCACCTGCTCACTCATCGTCTGTATTATACAGCATATTTGTCCTCCGTGACGACTCTCAATGTGGTCTTTATGTTCTGTATGCTAAGTGATATTTGCCCCTATGACTACTATCGGTATCTGGTCTGCATGGTACAGCATATTTGTCCTCCGTGACGACTGTCAATGTGGTCTGTATGTTAAATGATATATACCATCTTTTAACTGATGATATTCTTATGTTACTATTCTTTTATAGCCGTACTCGTTTGTTTTGTTTTCTTTCGTGTCTATAAGTAAATACATGTAATATAAGAACGACACTTTCCATAGAAATACCTTAAATCGTTAGAAACGAACTGTGATAGTAGCCCAATTTCTATCTAAATTAGCAAAATCAATGACTTGTATCGCTTGGTACCACCTGTTTCAAATATCGAACGATACTGATCATAGTCATCTCTTTGAGTATATTTGAGTCAATGTGATTTAGAAAATAATGGAAAGCGATATCAGTATATTATATACTGGTAAGTCTTTTCTTGGCGTCACAACAGACTGGCTTATACCAGGCTAATTAGGAGCTTCTTTGACGCCCATGCCAGATAAAAGCCTGACCCTCTGACCCTCTGACCTTTCTTTGGCTTTCTTATAAGTATACCTAAAAGTGATCTGGGCAGACTTTCACCGGCAGAATGACCATATCAGTTATAAATTAAATGGTGAAGTTCGGGAAGACATTTGGACACGGAATCATTAGAAATAGCTAAATAGACTCCATTTAACAATATACACAATCGCTACTAACGACACAATACAATCTATTGAATTTGTTATCTCGACTAACGGTCATGCCTATCTGCCATGGTCATCTCCATAACCTACCATATATCTGGTCGCTAAAAGTCGAGTATAAATCTCCTAAGATGATCACATGTTTTTCATCTGATATTCACGTGTCAGACTAGAGTACAGTCTGATGGAGGATCATTGGACATTAGCATGCGTCGTTTATTTACAAGTCGCATGCATTTTAGACTGATCAGATGTACCAGCGCAAAGGGCACTGTTAAGTGGCTAATGGCCATATTAATGCGGATACCTATACAGTGATAGCGAACGTCAGAGGGGCATCAACTTGGATCGCATGTATTGCATGTATACTAAGGATAAGACCTGACTAATGCTATGTCGCTAATGGACGGATACCAATTTATGAGATCTTTAGAAGCGACATGTCAGGTCTGTTGTGGTCAATAGGAAAGGACATGCCCCTTAGGAGACAGGAAAAGAAGGCCAATAAACGGCCACGTGCTTATAAGGACAGCGCAGTGACTTCATGTAAGCGTGGTACCAGTCTGAAAACTACGTTGTATTTTAAAACTAGAAACAAAATTTGACTGCATTTGTTCAGCAATGTTCCGAATACATAACGCCTTTTACAATTATAAACCTTCTAAGATAAATAGCTGTAATATCAATGTTTTACTTCAGATGTGTATTTTTCTTGTTCATAGAACGAGACTGGCATCAATTCTAATGATCTCCAGACACAAACTAATCAATACCTATCATCAATCAAAAGATACTTTAATTTTTACTGTGTGTAAGATGCCAGTTGGAGACAAAATAGTATTAACGTATATTTGGTTTGGTTTATTGTGTTAGCGTCATCTGAGTGTGTGATGTATGCGTGAGTGTTTGGGGCGGTGTGTTTGCCTCCTCGCGATAGCTCGAATCTGATTTCGACTTCAGAGTGCTACATCAGTACTAAAAGTCGTTGCGTCGCTTTGCAACAAAGCATCATTATCATGATATACAGCCGCAAATCTTAAAAATAGCGTAAGGTTATCTCCCAACTGTTCATCTGACGTCACAGTTTGCATGAGTTGATTGTGCGTATGACTATATTTCACGAGGGTTTTAGCCTGAGTGAAATATACCCATTCGCGCAATACACGAGTGCAATCTGAGACGTCAGATGAACTCATATGTGTAGCATTGCTTTTGGTACATACCTACAATCTCCTTAACATGCATGCAATATTTTCTACAAAAAGGTCACGTATCATCACCCGGCATTTGTGTTGAATTTGCCTTCTGAAAACTTCAACTGAACAAGGATGGTGGAAAAATTACCACAAGTTATAAAATAGTTTAAAATGGCGTTAAAATGTTTGGTGTCCGTTCTTCTTTCAACTAGTTTGTTTGATCAGTAGATAACAAGTGAGGAGTTTCTGGAGTTCTGGCTGCTGGGATAATACAAGATCTTGTATTATCACAGTGTGAAATACAGTACCTTGTATTGAATAGCTTGAAAACTGGATACAGTAAGATTCGCCAGATATAAAAACGTCATATCTCGTATTCGAATAAGTGAAATAGAGATACATGCAAAAAATATCATCGTCCAGAACATGAAAATAAAATATTCTTTAGCTTTTGAAACGACCCTCGATCCTGTTTCATATCTAGTCCGTCTCCGCTGGCTGTTGTATGTGTAACCCCACGGGTTTTCTGTAAAATATGTTATTGTAAACTTATCTGAAATCAATTTTAGACTCAAATAAACACCTCCTTAACTACTGATGAAATTCATCTCTACTATATTTAATTTGAAAACAGAAACATCATTAGATCCCATTTATTGGTATTAGCGCATTGATAGAAGTTATTGAAACACGTAAATGGATTCAGTAATTACGATGTTACCACATTGACGTCCTAACCCGATATATAATCATCAGAGATAACTAACAGTTGCCAATGGCGTTAACAACAATAATATCAAGTTTACGTTGTAACCAAGAGTTTTCATTGGTTAATGACCATGGATTAATGGACTATAGACCGTGGGCGTGCGTGTGATATTTTCCAACAGACCAACGCCTACCGAAAACCTCCCCCGATAATGTACCGTCGTGGGACTTAGTTATATTTTTCGACTGATGGTACCCACATTTAATTTTGTGTGTATAGACCCTGGATTAGAGCAGTCATTATCTCCCTCGACTTTATAGAGTGCTTCTGACCCGAAATATCTACCGAAAGGTCGCAACACTGCAGATTCCGGGTCTCTATGACTCGTTACCAAAACAGTCCTTCGAACAGGACCCAAAGTTGAAGGTCTCGTTACAAGAGTAATCATTCGCTAAGGATTCAAAGATCCATGTCATAAAAACGCTTCAGATAATCTTCTCCTAATTATTATAGTTAATTTACATATATTCAAGGTTGTCTGAGAGTAAAACGAATAAAACAGAGTGGTACACATTGCTGGATACAGGTGCTTTCAGACTAACAAGAAGTTCCAGTGTTCATAAAGTTGGCGGCACTATCTTAGCTAATGTCACTATAACGTGTTAACAGTAACATTAAACTACAAACAAAAAGTAAATACAGCAGAATGTTTCTAGATAAAAGGAGACTCAATTAGACACCTAATAGGTCCTATCATGTAATGGAGAGAGTCTATTGAAAGATATGACCACGATCGGGACGATGTGTTTCATTGAGAGCGTAACTCATCCTTACCCGCCGATAACATGCTACTTTCATTTAAGGTAAAAATGAAACACAGACATTTGGACACAGACTATAACTTCCTCCTATTTTTAGTATAT